TCCTGAGTGGTTAATCACTGCTCCGTCGCCGATTCTTCAGGGCTTCTTTGGCGCCAAACGAACCACAAATTGAGCGCCTCTGGCGCCTTGCCGCTTGGTGGCGTCGACAATAGGTGTGCTTTGGGATGTTTCCAGTGATGACATTCATCATGCTTTCGGAGCACCATACACAGTACGCAAAAAAGCGACGAGAGCGGCTAACGATGATCGCTCATCTTCTCTATCGTGTACTGGGATGTTGTACAAAAGTCGCCAGAACTACTCGCCGGCGCACCTCTGCCATGAGAGCTGAAAGCGTGCACCTTTCTCCAGTCATTATGCCTTTCCCAAAAGTGCGGTCATGGTGATCAATCACAGCCAGTGGCTGGTCGACTCGGACCGCGGGCCTCCAAACGCCACGTGCTAATCGCCCATATGTGTAATGTTGTTCATCTGTACAACTGTGGCCTGCCCACAAGGTCATTTGCCGGTCGTCATTTTGAGGGAGGACGGTATTGATGGCCCATTTTGTGCTCGAAGGAAGGGTTCAACCGCTGCTGAGACGGGCGTTGTGGCCCGAGTAGGCACCGTGCTTCGGTTGTGTGCCATGTGTGCTCTCACCAGGTGGCCTGCTGCAAGAGCACTGCAGAGACTCAACTCGCCTGCAAGCACGCCTGCTGCGACGATCCTGGCCAATTTTCGAGCATTGTCGCCTGGATTGGTCGGGTGTGATCCTCGCACTCCGAGCATCTCCAGCATGGATGATTGGGCCTCCAAAATGGTGCCTCCGCCAATGGTGCCAACCTCGATTGAGGGCATCGACACACTGATTTGAAGGTTTCCGTTGAGGCTGTTCGCACGTCAGTGATTGCAAACTGGTCTAGACACAATCAACTTACTTCTTCATGATGGTAATGCAGTTAGAGCTCTCAACGTTTTGCGCCGGATCCTGGCCCGTGGCCAAGAAGATTGCCGTGACAATGTTCGAGGCGTGAGCGTTGAAACCTCCTATGCTGCCAGCCATCGCGCTGCCGATCAGGTTCTTGGACACATTGAGCTCGACGAGTGCGTCCACGTCGCTCTTCAGAACATTGCGAACCACGTCTCCTGGAATGACAGCCTCGGCAACCACGGCTTTCCCGCGACCATCGATCCAATTCACCGCCGCTGGCTTTTTGTCGGTGCAGTAGTTGCCTGAGATAGTGATTGTCGACATGTCCTCGAAGCCACATTCGGTTGCCATCACAGACAAAGCTTTCTCCACTCCCTTCGATATCATATTCATACCCATGGCGTCACCAGTCGTCGTCTTGAAACGGATATAAAGATACGTCCCCGCCATGGCCGTCTTCATGGACTGCAGTCGAGCGAATCGGCTGGTAGAATTAAATGCTTCACGCATCCTCTGCTGGCCTTCGTCGGAATCGAGCCACACTTTCGCTTCGCCGGCTCTGACAAGGGTAGGAAAACCAACGCACGGTCCCCGGGTCATACCATCACCAGTAACAACGGTAACTGCGCCGCCACCGGCATTGATGGCTTTGCACCCACGGCTTGTGCTCGCTACCAGCACCCCCTCCGTCGTGGCCATCGGCAGGAAATACTGAAGGCCGTCGATTATGATGGGTCCAGCAACGCCCAAGGGAAGAGGCAGGTAGCCAATAACATTCTCACAGCAGGCGCCATGCACAAGCTCGTAGTTGTAGTCCTTGTACGGAGCCTTCGAAATTTCCAAGCCAGCGGCCACATGCTTGGTTGCTGGGGTGCGTGACACAACTGCTCTTCGAACCTTCACGGCTCGCACAAATGCTTCGCGCCGGCTCATGACTTCTGCGTTTTCCAGGGTCTTCTCGATCGCATAACCGGGGATCTTGCCCTTCAGCGACAAGTCGATCAATTCCTCATCGGTCAAATAGGCTGCCTTCTTCTCTTTGAGCATCTGCTCCCGTTCCGCCGGTGACCTTTCAGATTGGGCTGGCGCCGTAACAGTGGTTCGTCGGGGTCTTGGTGTCAAGGGCAGCTCAAGTTCGGGTGCTTTTTGTGCCGCTGGCGAACTTGTGGTAGATTGTGGTTCCTTCAAGCTCCAGCGTGCAGCGTTGAAAAGGTATCCGTTCAGTATCAGACTCAGAGTAAGAGCAATCAAAACCCACTTGCTGAGAACAGGGTCTTCCAGGCTACTCAATACGCCTTCGATCACACGCCCGCCCACAACGTTCAGAAGCTGGTCAGTATAGTCCGTATCGAAGAAGCCTAGGTCGTCTGCTGTGTCCGCACGGGGAAGGTGGGGATAGTCGAGCTCGTACTTAATGGGAGGAAGAACAGTAACATAGGTCTCTCGCTTCTGACTCTTGGCTGTCACATAGATGGCGTCCAGGCCATTTTCTGCAACTTTGAATGGGTCAATAGGTGCAGGAGTCAAGACGCTTGGCATGGCAGCTCCTGGCGCTTTGGCTGTCCGGAACGGGATGGTACAGAGGTTGACCAGATTAATAATGACGAATCCAGTGACCATCCAGATCTTGAATTTAGGCACACTGTTGGCTTTGATCTTTTGGCCGAAGATGTTGAACCCTGCTGCTTGACCGGACTGTCCAGTAGGCCAGTCGTTGTTCGTGGCAACGTCTTCGGCAACACGTTGGTTGATGCCATCTTCTTCGAGAGCTTTGCGGAGAGCAACATGACGTTTGATGCGGTTGATCTCGAGCTTGATGCAAAGGATAGTCGCGTAGAAAGTGAAGAGCAGGAGACAGTCAAACACCAAGATCCATGCCGCTAGAAAACAGAACTGTCGTAGACCGCCTTGAATGCCTGAGGCTGCGCCCAGAATAAGAATGGCGATCTCAATAGCGTAGTCTCGCACGATCTCAAACCCGGTCTCCCGGACGGCGATCTGGATCGCATCTTGGATGGAGCTGGGCGAGTTAGGAGCGACCACTGGACCATTAGCACGGCCATTAGCAGAGCCATTCTCCAGGTTTCGCCGGTTCTTGTCGTACGAGGCGGACAACACAGCTTTTGTGAGAATGATCGACTTCTCAAAGCCCACTGTAACCACGAGAAATGGCAGTCCTTCTGACAGCAAAACCATGTTGATCGGAACACCAAGTTTTGTTGTGGTCACCAGTCCGAATAAGAAGGCAAACAGGCTCGAGAAGAGGACTGAGACCGCCAGCCAAGCATTGGAACCGAGACGTTTCATGGAGACGAACAGCGAGAGAAAGGTAAGATGCATCGACAGGTAACCAAGAGACATTATAATGATGTCCAGCGTTTCAGCATGCTTGAGCAAGTCGACGAAAGAAGTCCATCCTTCCCGGAACCAGGTTGTGTAGGCGCCACGCGGTCCGTTGCCATTCAGGCGAGCAGCTTTCATGAACCACGAGGGTTTTCTTTGTTCGGCCGAATGCGCCTGCTGTGCCGGAAGCTCTTGTGCAGCTCTCAAGAAGTCCGCGAGTTCGGAGAAGGATGTGTAGAAGGCGAGCGAGGTGTCATGCGATATCGGCGAGAGCAAATTCGAGGTAGTTGGAATGTTGGTGGCAGTCACATTAGCCGGAGTGGAAACGGCAGTGACATCTGGTGCCAGCTGATTCGAGGAAGAGTCTGGGAAGACAAAGGTTGAGATCGCATAGTGGTTGGGACCCTGCAATTAGGCCTTGTCAGTTCTATCGTGTGTCCCGGCCAGATAGCACTTACCAGCGAGACCCGAGGGACACTGGAATCTTCTGGGAACTGCCATTTCCATGCAGTCTTCTCGGACAGCTCCAACGTCCTGCTTCCCTGTAGAAGGGCTTCCACATCCACCCTTCCGTTTTGCTGGAGAGATTTGAGGCCGCTGTCGAACAGGCTCTCTTGCAACAGGCCCACGTAGGAGGTGCTTGCGAACAGAGCGATTGCAACGACTGTGTGAATGGGGTGCGCGCATGCCAGACTCGAAACGGCCAGAAGATTGGAGGTAACCGTGCGGTTCAGCCAGCCGTCGCTATTGCCCAGAGAGCGAAGTTGTTTGGGGAGCAGATTTGAGCCTCGGACCATTTTGAGAGAATCCGACGAGGTAGAGGAGGGTAGGACGAAGGAAAATGATTGACGCCTATCTTTCCATGCCCGAGACGGTTGAACAAGTCCTGCTTGTCATTTGTCAGTCGCGTTGCACAAAGACATCGAGGCCAAAGATGCAGAAGTGCAAGTGGCGGTCAGGAGGGGAGCCGTCAAGGAGGCCGTCGCATACCAATGTAGCTGCACAGTGAGTGACTTCACAATTTTCCGAGCCGTTAGCGAGCAGTGCTTCTACCGCCGGGAACGAGTGCAGGATCAAGGTAAGAGGCAGGTTCGAGAGACAATAGGGAATAGGGATAGACTGGTATGGCACAAAGCCATCGGCTCGAGGCGACAATTCTCTCGGTCCATGAAATTTCCAGCAGGGTTTCGATCGTCTCCAGTGTGCCCACCTGCAAGATTTCGGTTGTTTGGGGGCTCCATGCAGCCAAAGGAGGCTAGTTGAGGAGCCTAGCCACCCACCACCGCGCTGGCTGCGGATTTGGTGCTCGCGGCTGGCATATCCGCGTGAGCTCCCTCTCCCCGCCACCCAATCATTTGGCCGTTGAGGATTTTCACCACAGAAACTGGCCAACGGCGGCGTGGGCCCATTCGGCATCTTACTCCCAATCCTCCCCGCAGCTCGATGAGGCTCGTACTCGTCTTGCCATCATGTTTGCACTGCGACACGTACCTTCTGTGGCTGACTGGGCACTCGTACTCACGTCAATGCCGCCCAGACAATCGTCATGACTCCCAGCAGGAGGCGTGGGAGACTTTATATTTGGGTCTGTACCTGCATGATGTGTTCCACAGCACAACCACCAATCAACCCAGATCCCAGATCCCAGATCCTCACTGCGGCATTTACGTCGCCTGCAACCAGCTGAGACGAACTGGTTGGGCTTATGCCAGCCAGTTTTTGTCCTTGAATGCGAATTACTCGCGAGGAATATCTGGTTACAAAGCGTCTTGGATTTGTACGAGTATCAGAGCTTCAGCTTCCTTTTCACGTAATCGGCCGTGGCTGTGTCCACACGTTGGGTCCTTTCCACAAACTCTGGAGGTACGTTCTGAGCATCGACAGGTGCATCGAACTGCCGCCGGCGCTCCCCGTCAAGCCAACGGTGCCAGAACTTCTCGATCCACGTTGCCGCCGCCTCTGCGGTCTTTCTGGGCGCGAACAGCGCAAGCGAATGCCCACTGTCCACATATATCTGCTCAATCTGGTTCTTTCGACGACCGAGGGCATCAGCAGACGCCAGGACACGCTGCCTGTAACCCTCGTCGCTGACAAAAGTGCCTCTCGTCTCCCACAGGAAGAGTAGCGGGCAGTTCAGAGTCGCCAGTGCCTTCTTTGCGACAGCACCCTGCGCAGCGTAGAAGCCAGGAGGCCAGTTGGCATCCTCATCCCTCGTGGCGTAGTCCTCGTTCTCCGGAAATCCAGACAGTGGCGGTGACGGCCGCAAGAAGTACGATACTGTCTGGACCGGCGGGGTGATCAACTCCACCCTACCATCTTCCAGATCGCGGTAGTCATATCTCAGAATCTGCTGCAGAACTCGTGGATCGTATGCCTTCCACATCTTCGCGCGCTGGACCGATTCTGTCAAGGCAGCGCGACTGGCGTAGTGGCGCTTTCTCCTTGCCAGACTCGGAGCCGCTGCACCTCCTGTAACCAGGATCTCGCCTTTGCTCTCCAAACTGGCATGTACATGATACCATCCGTTCTCGAGAATCGGCTCGCTCAAAATCAGACCTTGAAAGAGTCGAGGATTGAAAGCGGCCGCCACCGTAAGCACGGCGCCTCCCCAGCTCTGGCCGATCCCGACCAGTGGCGGTCGCATTTCGGCTTGGAAGTGATTGACCATCTGCGTAATGTCTCTTGCAGCGTCGTACCAATGTGGTTCATCGCCTATCTCGTCTTGATTCAACAGGAACGATTGTCCGGAAGAAGCAATGTCCATGGCCCATACCGCCCGCACCGGAGGTAGTCCCGGTTGACAGAGCAGATCCCACATGAACGGTTCGTACGACTCCTTGTTGTCGCCGGGAGGCTGCCCGTGTTGCACGATCAGTGTTATGGCGTAATCATCGACCGACCGCTCTTTCGGTGTAACGGGTACATATTGTTTCACATGGAGTCGCAAGCGAGACTTCTGTGGATCGCGCACTCCTCTTCGGTATCCCCTGGGATGTGATGCTGCAATGACATGTTCTTTGACCGTCCACGACGGCCGAAAATCCGCCATTGATTCGGTCTCGCGATGGGTACGGAATACAGAAAGGAAGCAAGGAGCACGACGCCGCGCATTCCGGACGGAGGTCGACCTTTAAAAATACCACATCATCAACATTGGCAGACGTCGGCTTACATACCTGCTGTGGCACTTTACGGATTGACACGTGGTGGCGTAGGGTGCAGTCCTCTTGGTCCGTGACCCATGCTCATATCATGTTTTGAGTTGCAGTGAAGCACTTGCCAATCTATACATGGACTGTTGGGATGGGTGTGGGTGTTTGTCAAGAAGCTGCGGAAGACATGTTGCTCCAAGCGAGAAAGACGATGGCCGGGCATTCTTCTCGGTTTCGTCCGTCTTCAGAAGTCCAAATTTTGGCCCTATGACGATCGCCGCATCCTTGGTCGGCGGGCAGTGTTAATAGTAATCCGAAGCCTACAGATCAAGTGTAACATCACTGAGTCATAGTTATTAGGTGGTTGTCGATTTCTCTCGCCGCTAGTTTAAAAGGTGTCGTGGTCTTCTACGCCTTCAATATTTAGCCCCGACCTGATGAAGATCGTACTTGGCTCCGAGATCCTAACAGCAAAACTCTATCAGGGCTATCCTAGGTGGTAAAATAGTACACTTTATGCCTACCTAAGGTTGGTTGCGATGAGAACATTCATTGATGCCAAGACGTTGCTCGGCTCAGTCTTCAACGCAGGGAAGCGCCGCAAAATCGCCAACGGTGTACAACTTCATGAATTAATGAATAAATCGATTTAATCCCGGCACGTCCCACTTATCGGTGGAAGTGTCTCCTCTCAAGGTACCTGAACGGCACGTATGTGATCGCCGTGAACGCAAAAGCCAATTCAAACCCAATATCCCCACCGAACTCGGTACCTATCAACTTCCCGATTGGGCCGATGAACCACACCTGCGCCATTCCCATTGCCGCACCCAGAATGCCAAAGCAGAAAGCTGCCGCTGCGGCAATGCCTGGTGGGAGGTACTTTGGTTGATCGTAGATTTCGGGCTTGTACCCTCCCATTCCGCGCTTGAAGATGAAGTGTTCGGGGAGAGAGATGCCCTCGTAGATGGCCAACCAGTAGCCGATCACCAGCATGAAGTTTTCCAGGACAGATTCAAAATGCTAAGACAGGTTAGCGAGTCGTACAATGGGAGAGATAGAAGCAAGGAAAAGGGTGTGACGTACATCCGCGCCTGGAATCGCAATGGCGCAGTAGGTGATGGTGGCAAGCAGCGTCCAGATGAAACGGGGCACCATCTGCGCATAGTGGGTCAGGGTCTGCAAAGAGAACGCCACAGAATACATGTTGGGAATATTATTGCCGACGATCGAGAGAGCTAGGATGATGAGACAGAACTTGCCAAAGCCTCCCAGTGGTGGGACAAGAACTTCGTGCAAGAGACCACCAACAGCATCGGTGGCGTAGGCGTCCGCGTACGCCTGATTCGTCGGTATGGCGGTCGCGACAGCTACACCCAGCATCTGGGTGAAGCATAGAGGGAAGACCAACCCGGCGAAGACGTAGAAGAAGATCTTTGTCCGGGAGGTGTTCGCAGGTTGGTAACAAGTGTAGTCACTGGCATAGGAAGCCCAGCCCGTGGCGAAGCCGAATATGGACGCGGCAAAAGACAAGACTGACCCAGTCTCGCCTGCTCCAGTACCCATTGGGATGTTGACGAAATCGCCACGATGTGCAAACTCCCCAATCACAATGAGGAAGATGATGAAGCACGGCACCCACGCGACCATTTCGTATAAATGCACGACTTTGTACCCAAAGAGCGTGATAAAGAAAGTGCCAGCAGCGATGCTGATGATCCCTGCCCACGCCGGGACGTCCGGGTTGACGGCATGGATGAGTTGAGAGCCCACGATCACATTGACGGACGACCATCCTAGGCAAGCAAGACAATTAAAAACAGCGACTGGGAAATCGTCAGTGAGGCTAAGATGGGCCTTGTAAGACTGGCATACTGATCTTGACTCCGTAGTAGCCAAAGAAGAAGCGGCTGAGAATCATTTGGCGCATGCCAAACCTGGGCCCGAATGTCGAGAAAAAGCAGACTGGTATTATGCCGAATATATTGATAAAGAGGATTGTCAGGATGGAATCGACGAATCCGAGCCCAAAGACCGGAACTGCGAGGACGCCGATGGCGAAGGAAGAAACGACCATGTTGGCTGCGAGCCACTGTTGAAAGGGTCAGCCACCCACATCTCCATCACCAAAGAAGAGCTCTGGGAACATACCATTGTGCCCACCTTAAAGGTGCTATTATCCGTCTGCTCATCTGCAGGAACACGTTCAATGCCGCGCTGCTCAACATGGAAGCGCCCGGCCAGACGTTGCATTTTGGCGTACATCGAGTCGCCGATGGTGAATGATTCCCCATGCACGGCGCCTGAAGCATCGGGTGCCACGACAGAATGGTGTCTCTCGTACGGCTCGGGTTGTTGATACTCGACATCGTAGCCATTTTTCTCGTAGCCACTTTTCTCGTAGGATGCCATCTTGACTGGCGATGGGCCCGGAAGGCTTTCCCAAGAAGACACTCTTTATGGACCGCGAATCAAGGACGAAACGACGGTACAAGGGAAATGAGACATTAGCAAAATACCCCAAGAACACAGTGGGAACGGGAGAGTAATATAGTAGATGGTGGGCAAGGCGATAGGCCATGGATACCGCCGTCACTCTAGCGGTGCGACCCACCTGGGCCCCAGCGGCGGTTTTTCGATCTTCGAGATAAGGGTCTTCGTATCTCGGGACCGTGAGAGCCATGCACCCCTGCTGAATCGGTGACAGCCGAACACGTCGTGGACTGGATCTCATTTGCTTTCGGACCACCCCAGAGATCATCTCTCCTACCACCACAGACCAGCTCGATGCCTAATGAGTCCCTCCTCAGTATGCACAATGCCTATTAGGCTGGGGACGCCCCGGATATGCCAACTTCACATTGACAATGCCCCGCCCGTCACCTACCGGTCGGAGTTCGCCTTTCGGTGACGTTTGCAGCTTCAGCACCGTTTATACCAGCCACCGCGTCTGCCTGGTGTCTAGAGTCGGTATCGCTCAAGCATGGGCATCTGAAAGGCCACGCGAGTTGGCGCCAGGGGACAAGCGAAAGAAGCATGGCCTGCATCAAGCTTGAGCATGCTTGAAGCCGAAGCTTTGGTGTGAGTGGAGGAGAAGCGGAGAAAGACTGGCGGCGAGCTCCCAGAATTGGGCGCGGCCACACTTGGCGTAAGAAAGCTCGAGATAAGGCGTCAGCTTGCCCAATTCGATGCAGTGCGAGTAATGCCGTTGCTAATCGTTTATTGGCTTTCGCCACTGGTCGAAACGTTATCTGCGGTTGGAATTCTGGACGAACTGCGACCTCATCTCGCTGGTCGCTTACCCGCTAGAGCTGATCGCTCGGTTTCCGCCTGGCTCCTCTGCGCAGCGACGAGAGCATGACCCCTGTTCAGGGAAAGATCAATCCACCGTCATCGTTTAATCGCTGAGGTTGAGGCTGAAACGTATATGTACTGCCCAGGGCCGGAGCTGCCAAATGTAGGCCAGGCCGTACCGTGGTCAACGCTCTTGAATGTACTCTGTACAATATTTTGTTGCGCGCCACCCAGAAGTTGAGACGCACGCGGCGGAGTAAAATCGTCCATGCCCAATAGCCTCGAAGCCGCCACAGGGAACAGAGCAAAGTACTTGAGTATGTTGGATATCTATGTTATTTGCCACGGCAACAGCGCCGAACCGACCACAGCAACTGTAACAGAGCCGCTTCCAAAACGAATAGAGCCAGTGTTCCGGCATTGTGAATACTTCATCTAGGTGCTTTGCTCCGATCTCACATTGATCCTGCCAACGGGTCCAAATCTGTAAGCTCGTCCCCGTGGAGACTGTTGAAGTTGTAAGGGAAATCCACTATGCCGTCCAGTATCCAATTGAGGGGGTCGAACACATCATAATCGTTCTGGCCATATTCCACGTTAAGAGGATCAGCTGTTCGAGGAAGGGCTGGGTCTGACAACATAGGCCCGTTCAACGCTGAGACGGAGTCTGTGCTCGAAGCAGCAATGTTCATTTTGGTATCGGGCTGCTGAAGTTGCGGATTTTGTTGCCTAACTGATATCTAGTCAGTAACTGTCTCAAAACGACGAACAAGGCATCTTACCATCAGCCGGCCTTCCGCCTCGGAAATGGAAATTCTGTCGCCACTGCCAAACCGAGTCGAAGACCACCGACATGGACATCCGACACTTGACCTTGAGCTGGAGACTATCATCGGCAGCACCCTCGCCAATGTTGTTACGGTTGGGTTCAGCACGCACTCGCCCACTTTTCCAGACCTGGGCTAGGACCTCCGATAAGCGCTCTGCCAGGTCGTTTTCCTCCACGCTCATACTTCTCAGCGCCCAAACCGTCCTCGATAAAAGCTCGGACGCACCCTTGGCGTCTAGCTCATGCTCCCCAAGGAAGTGATGCATGAGCTTGAGGAGTGAGAATCCAGCGCCAAGCATCGTGAAGAATATATAATTCGTCGCATATGACAACGACAGGCCATGAGAATAGCTTGATGGCAGATTGACGCTGATATTTGATTCCAGACTCAGACAAGTTTCGAGAAACTCGGTTGTAGCATAGTACAGTTTCAGCATGTCTGTCCGATACGACGGTAATGAAGGGGGCGAAAAAAATGCACTCAATCTCATGTGCAGCCCGGCAGCCTTGAGGTATATCTTGGTGATAGGCGAAGTGTCTTTGCGAAGCTTGTCTTCAAGTTCCTCCAGTTCATGTGCCAGGAATGACACGTAAGTCGGGCGTTCCGTGTCCGTGGCGAGGCCGACAGGATCGTGTGGGTTCATATAAAGCGTCCTTGACACCTTGTCAACAAACTTTTCTATCAGCAGTCGATTGAATATCGGGGCCGGCAGTTCGTAGCTGGGGTTTGTTTCCAGTGGCTTCGGTCCCAGAGTCCAGTCGTAGATACTGAGA